AAACCCCAAAACCCCATACTTTATTTGAATATAGAAATATAGAAATATTAAAATGGAAATTAATTTAGAAAGTGCGTAAACACCAATAAATAAAAATTCAATTGAAGAACCGAATCAACTGATATTTGAGAAATATGGCTCTCTTGAAGATCCAAAATCAATCATATCTAAATCTTAAGTGCTCTTTATCAGACATGCTGTCTCAGAGTATAATCATCAGATTGAATTATTGCATCAAGAATGTGATCAAATGTTAGATAAGCAAGAAAAGCATTAGAGATTCCTTGAATTCCTCACAAGATATGACTTGATCGACCCTCCACTTCATGAAAGAGGGATAAAATAAGCTCAGTTGCAGTAAAACTTAGTAAATATATTTGACTACAGATTGGTATTTGTGAGTCCTCATAGAAGGACTATTATGACTGCTATAACCATATTCTAATCATATTTTACTGTTAGTGAGAGACATCATTAGTCTCTAAGGTTTATACTGCTACCTCTAGCTAAGGAGGTTTTAAATAATTCAAATGACCTCGTGATGACCTATGAGGAATTGAATGACTATACTAACAAGATTTCTATTGAAAATCCTTATATAACCTTCGACTTTAGCTATTTTGAAGAATATAAAGAGCCTTGTTATTCTACATGGCTTTATCAAATACTAACAAATTAGGAAAAAAGACTGAATCTCATCAGCAAGTTCAAAGAGTGTCCTGATGCAAAAAAGATTGGCATACAATAGATAATTGAAAATAATGGAAGATGCATTGAGACTCTTGATGAGATATATGATCGATCGTAGCTGCTCAAAGCATTACTAAATAAGATTATTTTATAAGAATAAGAGAGAAAGCAATTAGCCAGCAATGAGAAAATACTAGTTGTTTCACATTCAAGGATGATGACATCATTTTTCTCTGAAGGTTTTGATATGAAGAGAAATCAGACAATTAACTCAAGACATTATGATAATTGTGAGATAGTTCCATACTATAATGATATTATTAGAAGTGAGACCGATAGTATAATAAACTGATGATTTCTATTGTAGTTGAGAATTTGGAGAGCTTTTGATATATTAATTAATTAGTCATTAATTTTTTCTGTGAATTTCCTTTATTTTTTCTTCGATTTCCTCTGCAATCAAGGATACACTTTCTCTGAACTAGGAATAGCACTGATCTGTAGATTTTTCTTCCCTACCATTTCCTTAAATACAAGATTTGAAAATTAGCTGTAATATGATGAATTTATAAGTGATTACCTGCATTAATTAAGATTGCTTTTGGTAAGAAAATCTCTCTATAGTTTGCTTTGGCTGCTTGCATTAGTTTTAGCAACTTTAGAAAATAGTCGTATTATCCTACTTAGCGTTACATTGCTTTAGACAAGATTGCTCATAGCTATTAATGGCTTTTATTCTAGTTTAGATCTCCTTATTTTAAATCAAATACTGCTAGAAATCAAGGATAAACTCATGCATTTTTAGATTAATTTTAATCACACAATAATTAGAAATTTATGATTACGGGGTTTTGGGGTTTTGGGGTTTTGGGG